TGCTTGAACTGCTAAGTGATATTCTTTCAAAGGGAAATTCACTTCCAAAACAAATGTATGAGACAAAGAAAATTTTGTGTCCAATGGGTTTGAAATATGAGAGGATACATGCGTGCCCTAATGACTGTGTATTATTCAGAAATGAGTATGAAGGGTTGAATAAGTGCCTTAAATGTGGGACTTCAAGATACAAAGTTAAGAAAGATGATAGTGATTATAGTGATATGACCAAAGTATCTCCTTTGAAAGTTCTGTGGTATCTTCCAATAATACTCCGATTTAAGCGTCTATTTGCTAATCCCACAGAAGTAAAGAACTTAAGATAGCATTTTGATGAGAAAATATGTGATGGAAAGCTTCGTCATCTAACAAATTCTTCTCAATGGAAAACAATAGATCAAAAATTTCCTCAATTCGGTAACGAGCTAAGAAACCTTCGACTAGGGCTTTGTACGAATAGAATTAATCCATATGGTAATCTTAGTAGCACATAGTGCTTGGTCGGTGCTCCGCGTAATTTACAACTTGTCTCCTTGGTTATGTATGAAAAGAAAATATATCATGCTATCTTTGATGATCTTAGGGCCAAAACAGCTGGGAAACGATATCGATGTGTATTTGGCACCTTTGATTGAGGATCTAAAGAAATTATGGGAGGAAGGTGTTGATGTGTTTGATGCATATAAACAAGAGACCTTCAATTTACGTGCCATGATCTTCATTACGATAAATGACTTTTCAGTATATGAAAATTTGTCAGGATACAGTGTTGAGGGGCATAAAGCATGTCCGATATGTGAAGAAGGCACCCACTACATGCAACTTAAACATGGCAAGATGACGATCTACCTTGGTCACAAAAGGTTTCTTAGTCGGCACCACCCTTATTGTAGTTGAAGAAGGCATTTAATGGCTCACAAGAATATCAAATGGCTCCAATACCATTAACTGGAGGAGGAGAAGTTTATCAACAGGTAGAGGGCATTAATGTGGTCTTCAATAAAAAGAAGAAGAAGACTGCCGATGAGAGGAATATATGGGAAAAAGAAAAAAGATCTATCTTTTTCAATCTTCGATACTAGCAAAGTCTTGATGTGAGGCATAGTTTAGATGTAATGCATGTGGAGAAGAATGTGTGTGTGAGCCTTGTTGATATACTTTTACATATAAGTTGAAAGACTAAGGATGGAATCAATACAAGATGAGACTTAATCAAAATTGAAATAAGAAAACTCCTCCACCAACAAGAAAGAGATGATAATTGGAATAAGTTCTTAGCGATCAGGCAAGGGTGACGGTGGATAGGATTCTTCGTAGTCAAGGTAGTACAGCAGTGCCCAACCCTACTGATGAGGTTCGACTATTGGCTCAGGCTAAAGGATATTTCATTTTGTGGCTAAAGAGACTAGTTGCAAAGCCATTAACAAAGAAGGTGACAGCGAAGAAGGCCACAAAGAGTGCATCATCAGATCCTGTACTCCTGCTTCTTCCTGGTGATGTTGCGCTTATGTATTCTAGTTTGGAAGTTCTTCATTTCATAGTGGCAAACATGGATAAACCCGTTACTTTCAAGATGCCACTGGGGATTGTGGGTTCAAATGTAATATACAACTTCACCATTGATAAGAAGGACCTCATTCAGTTCCTTAACTGTCTTCATACAGTTGGCTACTTTATAAATTACAATATCATTTTCTTATTTGATGTTATCCTTATGCATGTCTTAATGTTTCTTATTTGAAAAACAGGCACTTTATTGAAATCTGTTAGCAAGGAGGACTTGCAGGAACATGTGGCTTTATGTATCCTCAAAGGGTGCAGAAAATAGTCAATACTGTGAAAGCGAGGTCGATCTACATGATGACCACAATGACTTAGACAAGAAAGTAAATATATTTTACACCTTATGTGGAAGGGTAAGTATATTATTGTATTTGAGATACACAAGTTGTATGTATAGGATTATAATTAACATGGTTTGTATTTTACAGTTATCATTGGGTTCTAATTATTTGTGCCCTTTTTAATAACAAAGTCTACTGGTTCGATTCCCTCTGTGGAAATCCATCCGAAGAAACCAGAGATATTTTCGACACGTTAGTTTATGTTTATATATTTATTACGTGTGAAGTGTATAAAAACATGCTCTAATATCTTTTTTTTTTTAATTGTTGATAGGGCTTTTCATAGTTTCAATATTGTGAAGAAGCAAAATAGACAACCATCAACATAGATTCTCCCAAAAGTATGTTGTTTTAAGCTAAATATATATTTTTAAATCTTTTTCAATAATTAAAGTTAATGTTTATAATCAAAGTCTAATGTTTAATTTTATATTTCATTTTGTTAGTACCATTATCAACAAGGAAGTGTTGAATGTGGATACTATATCATCTGCTACATGAATGACATCATTGAGACAGGAGCGACTGAGAAATTAAACGAGGTAAAGATAAGTTACATTGCATGTAATTCTTCACTTCTTTTCATATTTTTGATTAAGTTAACTATGTTATTTTTTATTTACAAGTATTTCAAAATGCTGCTCTATATCACATGGATGAAATCAGCTTGATGAGGGACATTTTGTCAACAACATTGCTACAGAATTTTAAAAATTTGAAATAGTTAGGTCATTAAAAATTCATTGTTAGATTTTTTTCCCCTTAGTTTCCCTCCTATACATGTTTCTTAATTCTATTGTGCAGACAGAATTCACTTGTTACTATTCTTTGAATTATGCCTTTACTTTTCATTAGGAGAAGTAGCTTCTAAGGTATCATCTTGTAGTTATATGATTGGTTTCTATCCTACTTAGACAGATTGGCTTCTCTACTTTAAGCTTTGTGCCTTTGTTAAAAGAAATTTCAATGCTTGTTGCACTATATGTATATATTAACTAGCTAGTTGATTATTTGTTCATATGGTCATCTTGAAATTGTTCTGCATATTCTGTACTGTCTAGATTTATTTGGAATTGTAAATTATAGGAAGGTATAAAAGAAATTCACGCGGTATTATAAAAAAAAATTTAGTTTTTAACGGCGGTTATTCAAATAACCACCATTAAAACAATTTACCACGACGGTTATTAACTAAATCGCCATGGAAAATTGACTTTCCACGACGGTTCTGTAAAAAAGCACAGTGGAAAGTCAATTTTTCACGGCGTTTTCAACCGCCGTGTTTTATTTACCTTTCTACGTCGACTGTATCCACCTCGTCTCTAAAACCGCTATGAAAAACCCTTAATAACTGCCGTTAAAAGCCTTTTTTCTCGCGGTATAATCAACAAAATGAAAGTAACACAATCTCAAACCAGCAAATAAAGATTCTTAAAGTTAAAACTTTTGAATCCAAAGTAGGAATCCAAATGATATCTGCTTGTCATGAAATTTTTTGTCAATTAAAGTTCCGAATGGCAATTTTTTTGGCCAAATAGTAAGTAAATTAATAATAAAATAATAAAAAATTCGACATATATATCTGAAAATTTTGGAAAATAGCAAGTAATTAACATATTTTATGAGAATAACCATCAAAACATTCCAATCCTAAAGCCAACATGCTCCAAATTCGAACAAAAAGAATACAAACGTAATAAATCAACAAAACCAAATAATACAATGTCAAAATCATGTTTTTAGTCAAAGAAAAAAATACTCAACATTCCAAAATACCAAAAATACGAAACGCATGGAAAGAATAGAGGAGAAAAGGCAAAAAAACTCATAGATAACCAAACTCACAAAGGGCGACGGATGAACATGGTGGAGATGACGAAAAGAAGGGGGAAACACTGGCAAAGGTGAGAGGAGGAAAATATCAAGTAGGAATGACAATGGGAGACCACGGATTTTTGCTGTGAAAAGTGACTCTCTATCACGAGGAGTTAGGGATTTGAAATTCTTAAAACACTTTTAATGACGGTTTTATTTAAAACCACCATAAAAAGGTTTTTCCTCCAAATGACATTTATCAACATAATGATACCTTTTAAAGCCTCTAGGTAACCGTCTTTTCTCAATTCTTGCATGATCATTTTAACCTAGGTTTGGTACCCTTAAAAATTATTGACATTCAATATGATAGATAAGCATCTAAATCAAATGGGTCAAGTGTATGAAAAAGAAATAAATATAAACTCCAAAGTTTTCATATTTCTGCAGCCAAAAGGGCATGAAGAGTAGACGTTTAAATGATGCTTTTGTAAAATATCACATGAAGGAACCGCACTGTTTAAAAGCTTCATGGTAAATAAAATTGTTGGTCATGATTGCATGGGCCATCATCGTTGGTGTTTAATGGGTATAGAAGGGTCACTTCTAGCTTCCCATTTAAGATTATACTTGATCAAATGAGCACAGTAGAACAAGCTTTTGTAGATCCCAGTGAAGTTAGAAGGCTTCTAGAATAACTCTAGCCCATCAAATCAAGATATTTAACTCCTAATATTTTTGATAAAAGAGAGCTAGACGAAGTAGACAATACTTTCCACACTTGCTTTGCTAGAAGAGTTTCATACACCTGCTTTGAAGATCTAAGTCCAGAGCCACCATCTTCTCTGGGATGAAGGAGAAATAGGTGAAATATATAAGATAGTCCTTTCATTTTTTTTTTTGTTGGTCTCCATGTCTTCTCAACAATTTGCTGTTTTAGTTGGTTCTTTATATAAAATCGATAAAAAAAAAAAATTTGCATAGTTAAAAATTTTGCTTAAGCTTTACTCATTTTGAGATAAATTAACAAAATTTCTAATTTTCACAATTTGAACCATATGACCTGATTAATGATTTCTAAATTAAAACTTGTGTATTTCGATAGACTTTTAATGAGATTTTCTCTAATAAAAATCTGAGGGCATTAGTTTCTCACGTGCCATTTTGATCTAATAAACTGAGCTTGAGAGCCCCCCATTATTTATTAAAAAAAATAATCTGAAATTCCCCTAGGGTGGTATAAGGAAACTCCATTTTCCACTTCTCTTTCCTTTTGCTGCGAACCAAACAAGGCCTTAACTGACTATTGACTAGTGATGAGTGCCCCTCCAGATTCCAGGAAATGACAGGATAACACGATCATATCGAGTGAAGTGCGCGTTTGGGTGGTCAAGTGAAGGGGAGAGATGACTCTAAAAGTGTATGCAGATCGTATGTCTCAGCCATCCCGTGCGGTGCTTATCTTTTGCAGGTAATATTGATTCATAAGCTAGCCAACGTTCTTGGTTTTTTTTTTTTATCCTTGAAAGTTTTTTTGTTTTTTGTTTTTTTTTTTATATTCCGGGAATTTGCTTTGGTTTGGTTTGGTTTATGTCGTATTATCTTTATTCGCTGTAATATTGTGAAATTGATAGGTTAAATGGAATAGAGTTCGAGGAAATCAAAGTGGAACTATCAAAACGTCAGCAGTTGTCTCCCGAATTCAAAGGCACGTATAATTATTAAACTTCCGAACTTCCTTTCTGGGGGGGTTCAGTTTTCTGGAACTTTTTTCATTTCAAAGATGGAGGGGTGATGGACAAATTTTATGCACTCTAATTTTTCCTCCTTTTGGATGTGTGCCTTCAGCACTTAATCCCTTGAAGAAAGTCCCTGCTATTGTTGATGGAAGATTCAAGCTGTTTGAGAGGTACTGTATTTTCATTAATATTCTTTTGGGCATTGGAATTACGATTTCGATGGGAAACTGAAATTGGCATTCTTGTTTTGGCTTTTCTTGATTGTCATTCATTTACTTGTAGCAGCCTTTTACGTCAGAAGCTACTTTACACTCTTACTTGTGCGTCTGTTTGAAGATGTTCCTGAAATGTTGTTGCTCTTGTGTATCTTGTACTGGTCCTGGTAATCACTGGCTGAGACCCCAATTTTTTTAATATTTGTCTTCCCTGAATGTGATGTGTTGATTGAGATGGGAAAATTTAAGGTGGCAAAATAATGTCCTGTGTATTTGATAAGGCAATTAAGATTATTAGACTGCCAATGCCTCTTTCCCGTGCCCTATCCTCTGTGCAATATATATTATTGAAATAATTATTATACATTTATCATGGCTTCCCACTGTTTATTTCGTTAGATTTATCTTCAGGCAGATGGTTTTATGAATTACTACTTTTTCCAGGATCATTTCATCACAAAACTTTAAGCTGTTTAATGAAGGACCTAATGTATTTTATTAATATTTCTGACGTACTTACCAATGATCTATATGTCAAGATGATGACAAGATTTTGCGATGTTTTCAGTTAATTTCTAAAATCGGGTGCAACTATTAAGTAATGCCAGTAATCTATTTTTTTCATTTTTTATTGTGTGTTATTTTCTTCCTGGCAGCCATGCAATTCTTATCTACCTCGCCTCCGCCTTCCCTGGAGTTCCAGACCATTGGTCAGTATAGTCTTTCCTTTCCGGTGTGTCAAATTTAATAACAATCTTTTGAATGAATTTAAGATCTTCCTATGGAGAGAAGATAATATATTCACAAGTTAAAGTATTGAATTTTGGTGTCTCCCCTTAGCTAGAAGTTTTATCAAATCAAAGCAATCACCATTAAGGGAGTTCCTTGGCTAGTGATATATCATTGATGTTCATCATATTGTGAGATTTTCTTTCATGCATAGGAGTAAAACCAAGCTAAGCAAACATGTTCTGTTCAACTATGTTCCAAACTTCGAGCGTTAGACATTCACTTTATGGTTATGCCAATGATTGCCTGCATTTATGTTAGTCTTTGCTTGATGTTGTGGTCTGGTTTTATCTCTATAGTTACTCTTCATTCACTGAGATTTACAATTTTAACTGTTTTTCTAACCCATTTTATCAGGTACCCTGCTGATCTTTCCAGGAGAGCTAAAATTAACTCTGTGCTGAGTTGGCATCACCTGAACTTACGCCGTGGGGCAGGTACTTCTGAGCCCAGGATGAACTCTAGATTTTATCTATTATAAAACAACAAACAACAAGCCTTATCCCACTAGGTGGGGTCGGTTAGATTTTATCTATTATCAATAACGAAATTTCTTTTTTTTTTTCCTGAAATTATATGAAAATTAGTATAATTGTTGGTCTACTTTCACTTTTACTACACTCTGCATCTGATGTCGTGTTCTTGCTGAATAACTTCATACTCTGGTAACCAATGGTTGTTAATGGATTTGTGTTTTCCTCATAATTTTATTTTAACCTTCGGAAGTTTAACGATATTATAATCAAAGTAGCTAGAAAGTAGTGGTTAATGTACTGAAAATCTCTTTAGACATAATGCTTTGCATAATTTAATTAGTGGTGGATAATTATGTTATTAAACTCTGAAGCCTTGGACTGTACAAGATGGAGAAAATCTAATGTGCGAAGAAGACAAGAATCTTTCCAAATTGGCTGTTACTTAATATACGAAGACTGTTCTAACCAATTGCCGTACGTTTGGTAAAATTAGAATTTTGAGGGCATTCTAAAAAAGATGTTTAAAGAGAGTAAATCACCAGAGGAGGGAGGATGAGAGGGAGTTAAAAATATATTAGCAGAGGAAACAGATATGGAAACCGGTAATGCTTTTCTTTCAAAGGGTTTTGTGTGTACACAATCTTGCTTTTAAATAACTAATCTGCTAGAAGCAAAGTTGTTTGCAAAGGTTTGTGCAAAACTGGAAATTTCATATACTTCAAGGTGAATTAATTTTTGCTCTTTTGTTGTTGTGGATGCACATAATCTTGCCTTCATTATTTTCTTGTAAGTTCCTTTAGCATAAGTGCGGCTAATGCTATTCCTTTGTCATCGTTTTTGTGCAAGTGCATTTTTCTTCATCTTTTATGATCTATCTTTCTTGCTTTTGTTCCAGCCACATTTGTTCTGAATACCGTACTAGCTCCTTTCCTGGGTCTTCCGCTGAACAAACAAGCTGCTGCAGAAGCTGAGGAGATTTTGTCCTCATCTCTGTCAACCTTAGAGAATGTATGGCTAAAGGCGAATGGCCGGTTCTTGCTTGGTGGCTTTCAACCATCCATAGCTGATCTCAGCCTGGTCTGTGAAATTATGCAATTAGAGGTAAATGGGGAGATTTCGTAACATAAATGCTTTCATTGTGTCATGGCAAGGCAGGGGATGATTTTAATGGAATTCATTGTTTTCTTATCATGCATGATGATATCTAAACAGATAATTGTTAAGAAAAGTCAATGATGTTATGTGATCTATATAACTGACTTCTCATAACAAAATAGAGATTGTTATGCTCTCTCTTTTTTGGAGAAAGCATGGAACATGTGACTGTGGCGAAAACGATGATGTCGAGTTTTTTTGCAGTGAGTTCTTAGAAGCCAATTTTGGAACAACGTACTGGTTCTGTATGCCTGCCATCATGGATAATCTTTAAACAAACATCGAGATACATTGTTGCATATTATTATCTGAATATGGTGATAAAAGCTTCTTAATTCCATGGAATACTATTATACTAACTTCCATTTATCCTAAATGCAGCTTCTGGATGAGAAGGATAGGGATCGTATTCTTGGCCCACACGAAAAAGTTCAGCATTGGATTGAGAGCACAAGAAATGCAACAAAACCTCATTTTGATGAAGTTCATAATGCCCTCTATAAGCTCAAAGCAAAAATCAGGGTTAAAACCGCACTACCCTCAAAGATGTGACAATATAAAAAGGCTTGCGGTATACATGTGAAAAGCTGACTTGTAATAAGAATGTTTTTGCCTTTAGCTGAAGGCTTGAAGCTTGAAATATGTAATTTATCATTTGCAATCAAAAGTTAAACCGTTGTCTGATTAACTGGCTTCAGTGAAGTTTTGACATCGTATTATAGCGTCATTTTCTCTATTTAGGGGCACTTTTGGCTTCCATTGAATCATTATTACAAAATAACGAGTAGAATAAACCTAAAGATCCCATTAAAATATTGAATTTACAAACTGGTATTAGCAAATGCATAAAATGTATTTTCTCGTAAAAATTGACTGCAATATGTATCATATATATTTTTTAATTTTTAAATTTCACATAAGGCACAGGAGTTCATCCATTTATGGCTATTTAATCACGAGACATCAAATGAAACATCAAAGGAATATTAATACTTTTGTTTACCTTCAATTTTAGTTTGGATGATGATCACGAAATTTGAACCATGCGTGCTACAGCTAGAGGTTTTAGAAATTTTCCTGACTTCATTTCAACGAATGAAGAATCTTGAATAATGGTTGGCAAACAAAAGAATCTTAAATAATGATGATATTTTAGCTATCAATTTTAGGAAAATCCTTTTCTGTAAAATTTCCCACCAGTAGAACAGGACGACAAAACAGATACACTAATAAAATAGTCCGCCAGTTAAATAGAAAGAAAGGAAAAGAAGGGCGGGGGGGTTTAACACTAAGACCCATCGTTTCAAAACCCAGGTTGCTGTTTGCAGAAGGAGATTTGAATGAGAAAAAAATTATAGAGGCAAAATTTTCTCAATCTGACAGAACAATAAATATTTGCCAGATGACATGCTTTTGTGGTCGGAATCTTATAGAGATAAAACTGCAATAACATTGCCCTTGCAAAGCATCTTCCTTTCATGTAGCCGAAATATTTGGCACACAGCACGTCAGCTTTCCAGCTCAAAGGTTTAGATACGATTCCTGATCTCCCAAAACGTGATGATAACTCAACTTTCTCCCACACAGACACCTCGGTCACTTGGTTGGCGTGGCTTATTTAAAGCTCGGTCGGAATGGGAGACAATCTTGGACACAGTGAAGCCGGCAACTTCGAAGGTTTGAGATTTATGAGGAATCAAAGAATTGCGAAGGACAACATCTATTCCTTCATATGTCCAAACGCTTACTACTGCATCCCCTTTCAGTCCAATGGCAAACCAGCCAAGGCCAGCAACGGCAACGTCTACAGAACTTGAGTCCCAACTGTTCCCACTCACATGGAATTCTCGTCTCACCCAACTCCCCAGCTCTTGAACTCGTTTCTCCCCTATTGGTGGCTACACAGAAAATATTAGATTAGTGTCGTACAAAAAGAAAACCATAACGCATTGTACATCATGCTTATCAATCATTGTATTTTTACAGTTCTACATGCATTTTTACTGTGTGATCAAATGAAAATTACAACTGGCCAAGAGGCCAGCACCTTAAGGATATTTTGGCAGTTGATTATCATAGTTCTCAAAAACTTTGTATACCAAGTAATTCAGCTTCTACAAAGGCCGTAAACTTCTATGATTTTGAAAAATAAGAGCATGATCTTGCAATGATAGGTCAAAAATTCGCCTGGACACAGTACAGAAGAAGACAGCTGTTTAGGATGCCCCTTAACAAAAGAAGTTTTGAGGATGCATGAACATTTTAAGTCAGCTTATAAGATCCATGGGCAAAAAACTATCCTATATGTAGTAAACTGAGCAAGGAAGCACCTGCAGCTGGCGCCCAAAATGGTCCTGCAACATTTTATATGCATTTTCTACTTTACCCATATGCAATGGAAGTAAAGAAGATGCCCAGACCGTGACATAAACAGAATCCAGGGATGTTTCTTCTATATCCAATCTCATTAAACCAGCCACGTGAATCGATTGACCAGCCTGCCATAATCAATTAATAAAAATATAAACCAGCATAGGATTTAACAAGACGCAAAAGATAATGATAAACCTTGCGAATCAATGAGAATGCATAAGAATCCAGGCTGACAAGATACCAATACAATCAATTCATAACTCAAGATTAGATGTGAATATGTTTCTCGGATACTTAATGTCCACAAGAAACAGTGAAGCACCCCAGCAGAGCAATCGTAGTACCAGATTTGTATACGCAGGCCATGCCATAAAGCCCCCGTGAAGTACATATTTTCTTTCTCCAAAAGCCATCTTTTAGCATGTCACAAACAATGCCAAGCACGGTAACGTAAAAACAGCTCCCAGAACAACAAAGGATGCATCCAAAGATCAACAGCTTAAACTGCCAACCAATAATTCTAGGAAATTACCAGAATCTCTTGTAATCTTATTGGTAGTTACTACCCAGTCTGAGTCAAATATGGAACATAAAATATAGAGAATTCTCAAAAAAGAGGGGGATATTGTGATAGAAGAAATTGAAAAAACATTCCATATTCTAATCCAGAAGGGATATAATCAAATGAAAAATTGAAACATAGTTTCTCCCCCAGTGCATCCAATCAAGAAAATACTATCTTAGATTATTGAAATTTAGGTTTAAAGTAAAATACATGCAGAATTGTAGGGGGTGAAGAGAAACCTGCCATATAACCCAACAGCATTCTTTCTTTTTTTTTTTTTTGGTGGTTTAAAATGATATGAGAATAGAGTTTAGCTACAACAGAAACTCTGGAAGATAAAGATGGATAACAAAGCAACGTAAAGAAAACTTTCCTATCTCAACATCAAACCTGGAGAATTATCCTGAGTTAACTATGAGATTCCAAAAACAATAAGAAACGCAAGCCAACAAAAACTTAGGGAGAAATTAATCATTTGACCCATATAGTTTGTTTTGATTTTCAATCTGATCCTGTAGTTTTTTTTTTTTTTTTTTTGGGTTTCCAAAATAGCGTAAATTCCACTCACTTCAGTGTTACTCCCTACACTTTAAAACAAAAAAAAAAAAAAAAGAAGAGAGGGAACAAGAAGAAGAGGCTAAAATTTTACTCCCTGCCTCGCCCACATGGCATAACAAAGGTAATTTCTAGCTGAGGTGGCAAGCAGCTGGAAAATGTAGCTGCGCCCATGAGTAAGCAAACCCACCGCCTCAGGAAAAGGAAGATATGAAGTCCTCTCAAAACAAAAATGAACTTGCAGACTAATTAGCTCAAGAAAACTTCCCAGTCCATTTTTATTAAATTCACAAGGTTGGCCCTTAGAAAAACAATTAGCAGAAACCCCCCTAGAGGCCTTGAAATTAATTCTCAACCAAATCAAATGCATAGTAAGAAACCTCTGGTTAAACACTCACAATCTGTTATAACCGAAGACACCATAAACCAGTAGGGACAGCAAACTGCCAAAACAAATTGATTAGACTATAAAATCTAATTGATTAGACTAGAAAAACAAGACACAATAACTTAAACAACAAATGCTCAGAGTAAAATCAAGGAAACGTATCTCAAGATCTCAATACTAAAAAGGTGCCAATTGATAGATATCCGCAGATAATGATACCAGTGCAAGGAAAAACTATGGGGTTGTTAAGAAGAATAAAAAATCTTCTTGGGGGATTGTCTAGAAACGAATGAAAAGTGCAATGTGTTCAGGGAAGATCTTGAAGAAGTTTGTTAACAAAAAGTAGGTGAAGGCAAAGGGAGGGGCAGGCAGAAAATTGGGGAGTTTTGTATTCTTTAAAGGCGACTATCTATTCTGTTGAGCTAATCAAGGTGAGCCAACCAAGCACAAAAATTAATTTTTCTCCAGAAATGGGAAATGACCATGAAAATTTTATTCCAGCCATGTAGTAATCCTCTATGACTTTGCGCAAAAGAAACACACATTTAACAATAATAGCCAGTACTACAAATCAACTTTACAGCGTTCTAACCTTGATTCTATATGTCCTAGGTTTCAACTCCTTGCCAATGTGCACGAGCTTCTGCTCTTCCCTTGTCAACCTTGTTGTGATCTGAGAAGGATGCAAGAGGCCAGGTGTGTCAAACAATTTCGCCTGACCTGCTAAAATACCTTCCACTCTAATAATCCCCAGCGTAGTCCCTGGTATAGGTGCTTCTGTCAGATGTGTTATCCTCCTTCCAATATGCTTTCCGATGGAATTTATTAATGTACTCTTTCCCGCATTCTGTGCTCCAACAACCCATAAATTCCCTCTAGGCCCAGCCAAACCAATAATATCATCCACAAAATTCTTCAGTCCCCAATCTTTCAGTGCACTCACCATGTGCATGCTAGTAATCTTATTCACTCCACCCACTCTTGCTCTTTGCCTAATCCAATGCTCTAATCCTGTTGGTGACAAAGAACCAGGAAGTAAGTCAATCTTTGTTACCACAAGCACCACCCGAGGCACATTTCCTGATTTGCCTTGCTTCCATGCAGAAGAGTTATCATCAATTGTTTTAGATACTAAATTTGCAATCTTCCTTGAAATGACCCATCGAAATCTGTTGCATCTACAACCATCACAACCACCGACCGGGACCCCGTTGTCAAAGCCAGCTTCCTCCCCACCGTATGATAGAAGTCAAAATCTGGAAGCAAATTTTCCACTGTTGGATCCTTCACCTTCCCATAGTGCCTCAACGAGTGGCATCGTGCACAGACCACTGGCTTGTCCGGTCTCACATTCAAATTGCCATCACCATCAAGCTTTTCAGGCTCAATAACGAGTCCCCTTTTGATAGAGTTGGAAAATTCAGGCACTTGTGCAACATGTTCAAGATGGGTATACAACCTATAGCTCAGGTCCTTCTGAGAGGGTTTAATAAAAAAACCAGGGTGCTTTGGGTTGGAGTCCTGCATATAAACCCCACAACCGGGGCAGATAAGAAGAGATTGCGATGCGCCTTCATCATAATTACCATCTCGAGAGAGAAGCAAAGTTTGTGTAGATGCTGACGAGAAATGCCTAAACAAATTGATTGACGGATGTAAGCATTTTCCAAAGTTTTGGCCATAGGGTTTTGAATAAAGAACTAAAAGTGAGAAAGAACTTGAATGGGCATGGTTGCTAGACTCAGAAAAGAGTGATAAAGTGGCAAGCGGCTTAAGTCTAGAAAGTGAAAGTTTTCGAGCTGCCAGCATTTTTGTCAATGGCTTCAATTCTTGTTAGTATACTGTATATCATAGAGTGTTCAAGTGCTGCCTAATTCGTCGTTCTTTCCTGCCAATCCCCTTTCCACTCCCTCGTAACTAGACACAGAAAAAGGAGCAATGTTGGCCTGTTCATCTCCGAAACTTCTGTACAAGGCAGGTTCACATAGCCTTCATAAGACTCATCCAAACTTGCAGGACAAAGAATCCCATAATCAAACAATCAAAAGCATAGACAAGCCACTGGTAAAGCTTCAACCAAAAATCATAGTGAAGAATAGCCCCGCATGGTCATTAAATGTTATTAGAAAGCAATTTCAGGAGATATTCATAACTCTCAACCCATTTCTAAACACCGGAGATAAAGGAGACGAGGGTCGCTCTGGAAGCCGAAGCAGAAAGAGACGATGTTGGCTTAAAGAACGAAAGCCGGGTGCCAGACACGAGGGTGGCTCAAGAAGACTACGGACAACGGCGAGCTCGAGGACGAAGACAATGGCTACCTCAACGAAGTAGTGCAATGGCGTGGAGGGAGAGGAGAGAACGCTGCGCCCGCAGAGAGTATGAGGAAACAACCCACCGAAGCGGCACAAGCAAATACGGAGGGAGGTTTTCGAGCCCGATGGAAAAGAAGAGAGAAGAAACCGGATGAGCCATGAGTCAAAAATTAAAAAGAAACAAACATAAAAATACCCTCAAATATATAAAAATCCAGATAAGTACATGTAAAAAGTAATAACCCACATCAGAATTGGGGTAATGATCTCGCGTTTGTAAATATTACCGAAAGACAACTTTGCCCCTTATAAATGCACAAAAAGGAAGAGAATGCAAAAGGAAGCGAGTGGCGGGAAGCTTGTGAGAAATCACAGGAAGCAGCTAAAGAAAGGCAAGGTAAGTTTTATTTTAAAGCCATTAATACTATCTGAAGTTCAACATCTTCCTTCTCTCCTGATGTTGCTTATTTCGGCAGGTTGTGAATGTTGGTGAGTGGATTTTAGGTGGCTTGAGAGGTGAAGCTGTTGGCTTTTCATTTTTTGGTGTTGCAAAGAACTTCATTCATAGGTGTTGGCTTTTCAATTTTTGGGTTTGCATTGGCAAAAAGTGTTAAATAAATGAGTTTGTTGGTGTCTGATGTAGGTTAGATTGTTTAATGTTTGAGCATGACAGAAGGCATTAACATGGGTGGCAAGCATGAGCATAAATAGTGAGGAGACGATGAAGTATGTAGTTAATATATAAGGTAAAGTTATAAAAAAACTAATATGTTGTTGGTAAGGGAGGAAGTGGGGTTCTATTATAGATAGTGAGGAAAGTGATTATTGTTTACTGTTTTGTATTTTTGCATATTTGGGCATGACAGAAGGCATTAGCTTGGGTGGCTCTACGTCTTCGAAGAAACTTTCTTGTTATTTTCATGTTGGAGGGACATTTGTAGTTAATGAAGAAGGTGTAGTTCAATATAGAATCCAAATATGAGCTCAAAATGATGAAATACATCTTCCTTCCTCTTGAACCCCTTAAGCCAAAACACTTTTTCTTTTTCACTTAAATTTTCAATTTTGATTCCAATGCTTCCAAGACTTGTTCTTTAGGTGTATCTTACATAATTCTTCATTCTAAACATATTGGAAGCATCAAAACAATCAAAAACCAATTCTAGGTGAAAAGTCCTCTTGACCATGGGGTACCCTAAGTTTTCCAATAATAACACCATAATCACATAATACCACTTGATTCAAGTCATAAACAACTTCTTAAACTAATTCCCATCATCAAAATCATCCTCCACCATTCCTATATAATTTCGGCCAGTAGGAGGGGAAGGAAAAATCATGGATTTTCAACCATAAAACCCAAGATTTCTAAGTATTAAACCAACTAGGATTAACTACTAACCTTAGATCCAAGTTTGGTTAGTTGATTTCTTGCCTTGTTCTCCTCTTTAAGCTTCAAGTTTTTAATTCTCAAGAGTTTCCCCTATGAAAACCAAAATGTTAAGGAGGTGGGAGAGGAAGATGTGATTTTATAAAGGTCTTTGGACAATTTTGCCCTTAACCTTTTTCAAATTGTCAAAATTATGTGATTGATTGATAATTGTTATATATGAGATCATAATTCCTAAGGACTTATGTCATGCATATCTTGAAAATTCTCCTTGCTTCTTCCACCCTCCAAATAGCGCCAAGAATAGCTTAGTCAAGAAGGAAGAAGATTTTTCACAATATATCCTGTATAACTTTCTACCGGATTAAGTAACTTTTGTATTGACAACACCATAATTGTCCCTGATATTTTTGACCACTTATCCTCATCTTTTACCATTTACTTTTGAGTCATCACCCCTCATAATGGCTCTTAAAAGAATAGAACTCCTTGGTCAAAAGTGGTGGCTAAAAGTATTATTTTTCCTTCCGGGAATGCTTTCTAGAGTTCTAGAATTTTTTTGGGATTTAACTCCCCCTATTGTTACATCCCAATTTTTGGGCCTAGAAGTACCACAAATAGTCTAAATTGGATAGGCTACTAAACCCCTTTTGAGCAGAAGTTCCAAAGATGAAAAAGGAGGTCAAAGCAATTTTAGGAACTAAACAGCAAAGTAAAAGTTTTTAGGGGCTCAAGTATAATCAAGGCTAGAGGCTCCAGTAAAGTCTTAAGAGCCCAAAAAGAGAAAAGAGAGTAGAAATAGGCCAATGATTAAGTTAGAAGTTAAGTCCAAGCACAGACTAAACCGTAAATTCAGAAAATTATGACCAACAGGGATAAAAATTGAAGAGTATACAAAGAATTTAAAAAAAACCCTAAAAAATATGAAATAATATCCTAAGGCTCTTCTGTGAAGAGAAAAGACAAAAATACCCCTGAGGCAGCTTAAATGGAATTTATGAGGTTATGGCCGGTAAAAAGTATATCGTTTGAGGTAATTATTTAAAATAGCAAGAGACCTCAAAAATGCATACAAAAATGAGATTAAATGTTTGAAAGGTTTTACTAATTTATAAAATTAGTCCCGCAACCAAAAGGCCAGTGGAATGGCTTTAATAAAATATAAAGCCGGTTATGCTGTTAAAAGGATATTTTAGTAAATGAATTTTTATGCAAGGTTTAAAGGAAGTGTTATGGCCTAAGAAAATTCATAGGTACTCTCTAGAATTAAAGGGAATTTATAGAGTGGACAAAAGAATTCTTTAAGCTCCGGAAGGCCATAAAGAAAGTCGAAGAAATTACGTGGGCCAAGTAAATTCGGAGGAAATTTAAGGATTAAGTTTTGATCCAATGGCTAGGATTTAGGGTGTGTTTGGATTAGCGGTGGAGAAGTAACTTTTTTTGCAATCTGACTTTTACAGAAGTTAGATTGGGTAAAAGTTAGGTGATAAATTGTGATTTATGTTTGGATTGGCTTTTGTATAAAAGTCAGTTTGAGAAATTGAAAGTTGTTTGGATGATTAATAAAAAAGTCAGTTTAGATGCAAAATGATTAAAAAGACATAAATTTTATTAAGTAATATATATTTAATATTAAATGTATATAATGTGACAATTATAAAGAAAATATTAGAAATAAAATTATTAGAAATAAAGAAATTAATTTATTATTATGAAGAAATTGAAAAAAATACTGAAATACTTAATTGAATATATTTAATGGATATATGTGTGTGTATATATAAATCATTTGCCGCTGGCTCTATTCTTTCTCGTTTTTTCAGAGAGGAGATATGTATGTGAAAGAGGGTTAGGAAGGCAAAGAATTTAAAGTGTAATAATAAATGCTCTCCAGTAGTTTTCTCTGCTGCACTGATGGTCTTCACTGTCAAAAGTAAGATGATGCAGCTTATGGAAAAAGCTCATTTGAGGCAGAAAAGTCAGATTGCCAAATCGCTGAGCCAAACATCACCATTTCATAGAAGCTAGCTTTTACCAGTTGAGAAGTCAGTTTGGGCTCTCAAACGTGATGCCAAACACACCCTTAATCTCCCTTCTCCTCCACTATATTTGTGACACCTAGCACCTTCTAGAAGAATGAGGTAAGGATGATGCAAGAAGATGATGCAATGATGATGTAAAAGTCAACTTAGAATTCCAAAATTGCCCTTACCCTTTGGTCCATTCAAGTCAAAGTTTTGGCTATAAATACCCCACCTTGGAAGAGCATTTTGGTAGCCATTTGTAGAGGGAAAACTTTGCCAAAATTTAGAGAGAAAAACGTAGGGGTGAAGGCCAAGAAGAAGGAACAAGATTCAAGCTTCAAGATCAAGGTATGTGATGGTTATAGCATCTGTCTTAATGCCTATTTCGAATAAGTTACTCTTTGTATCTGATTCTGAAATTCAGCATGATTAAAGCAAACTCTGTAAGATTTAAATTCATGGGTAGAACACTTCATTTGGATATGTGTGCGATTTATGGTGATTTTTCAAATTTAGGGTTTGAAATCTGGAAACAATGTTTAACCTTTGGAATAGTGTCAAATTTCGTACAATTCTGGTACTGTTCAGCATAGAATTTGTTCCTAAAACTATTTTTCCTTTAAAGAGAACTTAAGGAGCTTTCAGTGAGACTCAGAACCACTCAGTTTTGATTTTTCTAGAATTAATTATGAATTTTTAAAATTGAGCAAAAATTCTAGAATTTCTATGTGAACAGTACCCGTGAAGCAAAATTTTTAGATTTGATCTTTTTGAATCTAAGACCATCTAAAGTAGTCCTAATTGACAAGAAATGGATCTCAAGGATAGGAAATGATAAGATTTATGTTAGAAAAGATAGAGAGAAAACTCCAAAACCAAGAGAAAGGGTTAAGGTTCAAGAGAGCTAGTTTTGAACATTATTTAATCTCTTAGTCTTAATAGATTGTATGATCAATGTGACTATGTTTAGGACCTTGGAACATCCAAGTGGATGTTTGGTGATGTTGACCGAATGCCTACATAATTGGAAAGTCAAAGGAGTCAAAGGAAAAGTAAGAGGAAAGCTTGAGGTGCAAGGTAGTAAACTTACCTATTATCATTGCTTGATGTTGTATGCTTGTGTGTTGCTGTACATGATGTTTGAATGTTGTTGTGACATGTATTGGCTGCTGTAAATGCTATTTATGATTAGTAGATTATGTCTTCATGGCCATGCATCAAGAAGGTAGCTTTAAGCATGCTAATATGTCACTAACTAACAAGAGAACAAGCAAGTTGCATGTAGTGCATTAGCATCCATCTAGCATGATTAATATGGTATTGTTTGCTATTGAGATTCCCTAGATTCTCACCTCTCCCTAACCAACCATTTAGGTCAATCATGAATGGGCAATAATGGCATGAGAAGCAAGGAGAAGAAAGTGGAGAATTGTTCATGTTAATGAATGATATTATTATTCAATGTGTAATTCTCCTATTATGTGATTTATATTATGGATGCCTATGATGCCATGTAATTAATTATAATATTTATGGCATGAATGAAAGTGTATGAGCATGAATGGTAAAGAGTAAGCCATGTTATGTATGCCAAAGAAATAAAAAGAATTAAAGTAAAGAGATGTTAAGAGATAAAACGTAGGTCATGGAGCAGTGAGTTTGTAACTCCAATTTGACCTATCAAACGAATGAGTTAGGCCATGAGATTTGGTAGAGTTATAGTACACATCCTAAGCTTTAAAATGAGAGCTAGATCACCTTAATTGGATGTGTACATAAGGAGATACGAATTTTCAAAAGTTGAGGCACATAATCTGGAAGTTCCAGATTTTATAAAATGAACAGTAATATTTATTGATTAAACTGTATGTATTGGGTAAAGATAAGTCTAATTAGATATTTTTCCCTTAAATAGCATTAAAATAGCTTTCCATAGAATTTTAGAACACCTCAATATGATTTTTATGGAATTAGCTATGAATTTTTGAAGTTGGACTTGTAATCTGGAAATTAAATAGTAAATAGTAACCCGAGTAATTATGTTGAAATTTTAAATCCACAGGCTTGTGTCATGATCTGCTTGAACCATAACACTTATGAATGCGTACTTTAAGGGGTTAAAGGAAGGACGTTTCACCTATAGATATATCTTTTTGAATTTCCTAGATAAAAGCCTTAGTTGGCTTAAATAAGCTTTAAATATTTTTAAAGCTAATCTCAGGGTAATTTGGAAATAAAAATACTTCTACAATGTTCTAAAAATCTCAAGGTATTTTATCCATATTTTTTCCAATTTTTCTGAGGCCTTGGAGTACATGAAATAATTAAATTTGATTAATTTTCCTTAATTAGTCAAATATTGTGAAAATTACTAGAAAATTAATATTAATTAATTTCCTTCATATTTTTAACTTCTAGGACCATCATCCTGTTTCAAAGAATTTTCTCCAATTTCTGGGGTTTTCTAGGCATTTTCAGAGCTTTCTATCATATTTCTCTAATTTATATTGACTTACTCAAAATACTGAAAATTTTACTTTGGTGCTTATCTGATTTCACATCAAAAGTTGTGCAATCTACATTAACACTAATATTCTGGCCCTTAACCATCTTTAAATTAATTATACCTTAGTCACAAAATACTGGATGTGACAATTCTCCCCTCTAAATTAATTTCGTCCTCGAAATTTAAAACGTATCTTAGTTGAAAAGTTCTGGATACTTTTCTTTCATCTCTTCTTCTATTTCCCAAGTTGCTTCCTCTGTGGATAGTCCCTTTCAGACAACCTTGACTAGTGGAATCTGCTTATTCCTCAACTATTTGACCTTCCAATCAATAATTCGATCTGGTTCCACTTCAAAAGACAGGTTGTCTTGAAGTGTAATATCATCGTATTCCACAATATGCGTTGGGTCTGGATGGTACTTCTTCAATTGGGAAACATAAAAAACATCGTGTGTCTAACTCAAGTTTGGGCGAAGGGCCAATTTATAGGCTACTGGACTGACTTTTGAGAGGATTTGGAATGGTCTGATGTGCTTTGAATTCAGCATCTTTGTCTTAATAGACCGACTTACTCCTGTGGTTGGAGACACCTTGAGAAATACATGATCTCCAGCCTCAAACTCTAACAGCCTTCTCCTAATATCTGTGTAACTTTTTTGTCTACTTCGAGCCGTTAAGAGCCTCTGCCTGATAATCTCAATTTGTCTCGAGGTCTGATCCACTAAATCTGGACCATACATCCATCTCTCACTGAGTTCTGTCCAGCACAAAGAAGATCTATACTTCCTGCCATATAAGGCTTCATATGGAGTCATCTAAATACTAGAATGGTAACTGTTATTTTAAGCAAATTCTACTAATGGGAGGTATATATCCCAGTTTCCTCTAAAGTCTAGCACACATGCTTGTAGCATATCCTCCAAAGTTTAGATTGATCGTTCTATCTAGCCATCTATCTGCGGATGGTATGCTGTACTAAATTTGAAAGTAGTGTCCATTTCTTTCTGCGGAGATCTATAAAACTTCGAGGTGAATCTCGGGTCTTTGTCAGATATGATGCTACTAGGGACACCATGTAATCTTACTACTTCCTTAATGTATAGCTTTGCCAACTTTTGAGGAGGATCTTTGACATTTACTGTAAGGAAATGAGTTGACTTCGTGAGTCTATCAACTATCACCCATATAGCATCATGCTTCGAGGACCTAAGTGGTAGCCCTATAATGAAGTCCATGGATTTGCTATATCATTTCCATCCTGGAATGTCTAAGGGTTGTAGCTGTCCAGCAGGCTTCTGATGATCTGCTTTTACCTTTTGGCAGGTAAGACACTTTGACGCATACTCTGTAATATCTTTCTCCATTCCAGGCCACCAGAAAACTTCTTTCATATCGTGCTACATCTTGGTCATTCTTGGATAAAGGGTATACCTGCTCTTATGTGCTTCGTCTAGAATTCTTTCTCTCAAATCGGTTGCTTGAGGGACATACATTCTTCCTCTAAACTTCAGTAATCCCCCGTGAGAAATTTCAAAATTTCTAGTTTCTCCTTTTAGTAGCTTGGCTTTGAATATTTCTGCCAATCGATCTTGCTACTGAGCTTCCCTAATTTGATCGTAGAGCAAAGCTGTAAATTGCACCTTACCACTTCTATCATCGACTACCTGCATCTAATACAAAGAACTCCAATCTCTAAAGTCCTCTAACAGTTTCTGCTCTCTAATCATTAAGGATGCTATCTGTACTGTCTTACGACTCAATGCATCTACTACTACATTCACCTTACCAAGATGGTACTTAATCTGGAAATCATAATCTTTTAGCAGTTCCATCCATCTACATTGCCTTATATTCAACTCTTTCTCGTCTTACAGATACTTGAGGCTCTTATGGTTACAATGTACTTCTACCGTTGCACCATAAAGATAGTGTCTCCATATTTTAAGAGCATAAACTATTGCTGCCAGCTCAAGATCATGCGTTGGGTAATTCTCCTCATGGGATTTCAGCTGTTATGAAGCATAAGCTACTACTCGACCTTGCTGCATAAGCACACATTCCAATTCTTGCTTACTGGTGTATGTATAGACTACATAAGTCTAGGTAGGATCAGGAATAATTAGCACAGAAGTAAAAGTGAGCCTCTTCTTTAGCTCCTAAAATCTGGTTTCACATTTCTCATCCCACAAGAAGGATTAATTCTTTCTAGTGAGCTTGGTCAGCAGAAGGGCAATTTGAGAAAAGTCCTTAATGAATCTTCTGTAATACCCTGCCAGTCCAAGGAAACTTTTGATCTCAGTAACTGACTTTGGTCGTTCCTAGCTTAGAACAACATCTACATTGTTAGGGTCAACTGATACATCTTCTTTAGATATCATATGGCCAAGAAAATGGACTTTGTGTAGCCAGAACTCACACTTACTGAGCTTGGCATATAGTTACTTCTTCTTCAGGGTATTCAGGACAATCTTCAAATAGCTTTCATGTTCTTCTGAAGATTTTGAGTACATTAGAATATCATCAATAAAGACTGCGACAAACTAATCTAGGTAAGGTTGAAAGATTCTATTCATACAATCCATGAATATAGTAGGTGCACTGGTCAATCCTAATGGCATCACAAGGAATTCATAATGCCCATATCATGTTCTAAATGCCATCTTTGCAACATCATTAGACTTGATCTTGAGTTGATGATAACCAACCTCAGATTAATCTTAGAGAACACGGTAGCACCAGCTAACTGGTCTAACAAGTCATCAATTCTCGGAAGTGGATATTTGTTCTTGATGGTAATCTTATTCAACTCTCTGTAGTCTATACATAACCGAAGACTACCATCCTTTTTCTTGACAAAGAGTACTGGAGCACCCCATGGTGAAACATTAGGTCTAATAAACCCCTTCTCTAAAAGTTCTTCTATCTGCTTCTTCAGCTCCCCTTCTCTAAAAGTTCTCATCTTTACCGTAAAGGCTTATCTCCTTTCTTTCACATTCTTATTTCATATATAGCTTGTTTGAATACATACTGTTCAAGACTTACTGCTCTTAGTTCCTTTAGTTCTTACTTTCCTCACTTTCCTTCATTGACTAGAACAGAATTGAGCTTAATCTAATCAATAATAATGGTATCTGTGGAAAAAGTTAAGGGTACTCTCTCTATACTAGAGACCAACCTGAGGAGGTTTCCCTATCTTAAACTTATCCCTGGTCATCTCATTCTCATGCCCCAGAGAGATACTACCCTTATAGCTCAGCAACTTTCCCTTAGGCTTGGTCTACTACAACCTTGGGAGCCATTGTGCTCTACTGTAAGCCTCTTTAGGATCCATTGTGACCCTGGATTCTTTCACATTCTACTCAAGCCATGTTCCACCATTTGGGAGCCTTTAGATCAGTGGACTGAGTTAAAGAATAAGCCACCTACCCTCAGCTAGTAACTTGACTGATTATTCCCCAAGACTGATCACAGACGCTAGTACTGCCTTTTTAGGCCTTACTCAATCCTTTCCGTCAACTCCGGAATCATTCATCTTTCCTTCCTTTCCTTTTCTCTTAACCTTTAGCTATCTCAGGCCATTTCCCTTTCATCGAGCCCTTATAATTCTCTGGACCATTAATTTACCTCTATGGCCTTCTAGACTTGTTATCATATCCATGCCAATTTGTCATGCCTTACAAATTCTCTTTCTCATCTTACAGGTAGAGGTCTTGTAAAATCATTTTTATCATCTTCTCAAATATTCTATCCTTTCATCACTCTTAGCCAGTTTTGCTCTTATTAGGGTAAGGTTAACTCCGCAAGCTTTGCTCAGTAGCTGTTACTTTTTCCTGTGGGAGGACATATTGTGTAACAACCCCCGTAATTCAAGGTAAATAAACCTTTTCAAAAGGATAATTACTTTAAAAGGCTAACCATGGTAGGAAGGACAACCCTAATCAAATAGAAATCTACCATAGACAATAACAAACCAAATCTTTAACAGAGTAGTAGCTACTGTTCTAGAATAGTAAAGATAGTTAATCAAATAAGAAAGGATCAACATTTGATTTTTCATGTATATATCAAATGCATCAGCAATACTCTAGAATCTCAAATACAATTAAGACCAATTGTAAAAGGACTAGGGCATTTGAAGTCCACCAAAACAACTACCACTGCTGCCCATTAACAAGTGCAATCAAAATAACCATCACATATGTCCAAAAAGGGCTCCGCCCAATAGTACAAGTCTAGAATGCAGCGGAAAGGCTATGATAATGTTAACTAAAACAAAAAGGCCCTAAAGTTTGGCAATATACATCAGTCAAATCATGTATATCAAAATAGAGGCTATACTGAGTGGAAAGGAAAACTCAAGCCTCGAACACCTTCCCCTTGGGACCAAAACCTGAACCCTTGCCTGAAAAATGTTAAATAACCACGGGGTGAGTCAAATTGACCCAGTAACCACAATTCCAATTCAACAGGTATCCAGGGAGTGATTACAAGATAGCTAAGCTGGCAAAGTACAATTTCCAATAACATATAAGTTAAACATCTTTACAGAAAACAATATATAATAATTCAAAAAGTAACTTGCATACATAGGACTTCATCAACCATCCTTATAACCTCCTTGTAACCTCTGACAGAACCCATGGGCTATTCACACATAACAGGATTAATCTCTTTTACAAGACTGCACCAAGCTCTCCAATAATGAGGTGTAACTCGGCCAAAAGTTACAGAGCTCATATCGGACCATGGGTTCCCTTTCCTTGGAATATGGAAAGGTGTCATGTCCCTTGGGCTGACCCTTGACCCGGCCAAAGGAAGGGTGATACCGAGGGCCCTAAGAATGTTAATGCCAACCACTGGGCGCCAAGTGGCGGCTATACCACGTGGTATAAATAATCAGACCTCCCACAACTACATTTCAGCACAACCAACACAGCCCAATCCAACCATCCAATTCCACACAATTTCATATCCATAAAGTATTCTCATATTCAATAATCAAATTTATTCAATATCAACAAGATATTCATAAGATGAAATAATTCATGCCCACTTAACTAATAAATTTATCAAAACATAAATCTTGATACAGATATATAATTTACTTTTCATACAAAAACCACCATAACACATATTGAGAACATTCATAATATCAACACATGCTTATAATCACATCAACAAGCATACAAGGTAAATTAGAAAGTGGTTACCTCAAGTTCTTGACACAAGAACTAAAAGTAGGAGGATTCAAGACCCAAGAGCCCAAACCAAGCTCACTCTACAATAATAAATTGATAAACATATATTAATATAAAAAGACTAATTAATATAGCATTAAAATAGTTTATTAACTAAATCCCTATAATTGGCTTATCTAAAAATTTATCCTTAGGAAAAATAATAATTCATCTATTCTTCCAAGTGACAATTCCTAATACTTCCCAACTCTATTTCTCTCATTCACATTATTAATAAGAATATTTCCTTCAAATCATCTAAAAATCTCCAAAAAGTGCTTACTTTAACTCTTAGAAAAATAACCATATATCAACTATGCCTTCAATCATTATTAAAATCATATTCCCTTCTTCCATTAATCATTTCCCACTCATTAGAATCAATAACTTAGAATATTTTCCTCAATTTCCTCCAAACACCCAACTTCCACTAATTAAAGTCTCTCCAAGAATCATCAACATTACTATTTCAACAACAATCCTCAAAATTTAAGCATTGGATCCTCAATATAACCTCAAGTGAACTCAACTAAGAGATAAATTTTGAAATTAATATCATCATTAATACAAATCACAATTTCCCAACCAATCCCTAACTCACATTGCCTCAAATCAACCATCAACTAAAAATCTAAGTCATAAGGCTTCTATTCTAACCCCATAAGCTCCATTAATATCATCAAAATGAGTTAGAAACCTTAAAAATTAAAAAAACTAACATACCCTAATAAACTTTATTTTCAGCCATAAACATACAGAAATAAAAAGAAAAAGCTAAATAAAAAATAGTAGGATGAAAATAGCTCACCTAAATATCTTACATGTATCCAAGTAGAGTCCTTCCTTTCTCACACACTCAAACTACCTCTCACACCCACTCACTGTCGCAGCGCGGCGAGGACGCAGACCAGAGGAAAACAACGAAGGAGAAGAGGGGGAAAAGCGGACGAAGGGAAGGGATTAATAGTGGGTCACGTGACCCACTATATCATTCTAATTTTCAATATTTTTTTTTTTGAAAGCCACAGTCTAACGGGGGCTTACACCCCCTCGCCTTCCTCCCGCTGGTAGTGGGTGGCCCACGTGCCACCCACTTGCCTTTTTCTATATATATATATATTAATATTTTTTTAATAAAAATAATAATAAAATTTTTTTATATATATGATTTATATGTATATAACAGAAATTATGATTTACAATTTATTCAATAAGCTTTAATATTAAATATTATGAATTAATCTCACCCATATAATCTAAATCCTATAATAAGATAAAAAAAATGGAATGTTACATATTGCTCACACCAGAACATGTCAACTCAACCACTTTCCCTGCCTTGATGGAGGACATAACACTTTCATAGGTACGATGTCAACTCTACTACTCCAGGAGGACGTGCTGTTACCTTTATAATATTGTCAACCCCATCGTAACTGTTTCCCTTCGTTTTCTTTAGAGGACAGCTTGCTCTCAGTAGAGCAGTGTTAACTTTGCGTCAGAGAACCACGTCCTAATTTGAGAGACATTCTATGGCCAAGAATATTCAATTTCTATCAAGGCACTATATCCTTATAAAAAGGAGCCTTTCAACCTGACTTATTTGATCATCTTTGGTAGTGGCATTTGTCTATAAGGATCTCATCTCTTAGATTCCCTATTAGCCTGAGTGCTACGATTGCACTTCTCATAGATACGTTAGGGACACAAAAGAATACTATTTAGTCCCCAACATTATCAAGTATATAAGCATAATCAGGCTCTAAGCATCATTGGGAACTTACTTATCTCTTTTTATAAATCAGTTCCCAGTGCAACCATCAGTTTTTACATTCTCATCTATTTATGTTCAACTCTATCCTTAAGAGGGATCTTGCCTAACCCTACTATTTCTAACTTTCTTTACCTTTTGACCAATCATTTCTATGGTGATGTATTGATCATCATATACTGATCACATCACACAGCGAATATTCAATCACCTTGCTATGTTGTGTTTAGGCCAGGCACCTCACTTATCATCAATTTTTCATTCAATATCATCTAATCTCTATCCCTCTTTGTTTACTATCCCTTGGGGGTTTCTACCTCTATTTAGGGATTTGAAAAACCTCAAACATCTTGTCCTGTTACCTTGCCTCTATCGAGGTCACATTGATTACTTAAGGTTTAAGTTGCCACTCGGTTCCCTACTAGGACACTAACTCATACCCCTGATTGGCTCACTATTCTCTCAACCATTACTCTTTGGGAGAGTCTTTTGATTTTGACTCATACTTAGTCAAGCTCTCTCAGCTCAACTATTCTTCTACTTCTTCTAGACCCAAGCACTCTAACTTGGTTATCTCTCGAACCCATCCTAGGGTACTGGGAAGAGTTGAAATGATAGTCCTAACCCACTGTTCATCAGTCAATCAAGATCCACTTCGGCACAAGGCCTGATAGTAACAGCGTACTTGTTGGAAGTATCCTAGGTAGGAAATCATAGTTGGGCACCATTCTTCTTTAAGATACCTTCCAAAATAGTCCATCATATCCCTTAACTGGGCCTCTATTCTTACTTGTGGTTCCTCCGTCTCTTGTAGTAGCCACACAGTTAGGGACACGGCTCTAGGGTCAACATCATTAGAATCCTTTAAGGAATGACCTAAGCTTACATGAACTACCCACTCCATAGCATGCTCTTCACCATCTACTAGCGAATAGTTCAGATTTGGGATGT